GCAATTCTCCTGCCTCAGCCTCCTGAGTAGCTGGGATTACAGGCACGTGCCACCATGCCCAGCTAATTTTTTGTATTTTTAGTAGAGACGGGGTTTCACCATGTTGACCAGGATGGTCTCGATCTCTTGACCTCGTGATCCACCCGCCTCGGCCTCCCAAAGTGCTGGGATTACAGGCTTGAGCCACCGCGCCCGGCCCATGCTTTTTTTTTAAAAATGGAGTCTTCCTCTCTTACCCAAGCTGGAGTGCAATGGCGTGATCTCGGCTCACCGCAACCTCCACCTTCTGCATTCAAGCCATTCTCCTGCCTCAACCCCCTGACCAGCTGGGATTACAGACGTACGCCACTGGCTGACTAATTTTTGTATTTTTAGTAGAGATGGGGTTTCACCACGTTGGACAGGCTGGTCTTGAACTACTGACCTCAGGTGATCTACTCACCTCGCCTCCCAAAGTGCTGGGATTATAGGCGTGAGCCACTGCACCCGGTCTATTCATGCTTTAAAAAGAAAAATAACCGAGTCTGGGAGAATGGGCACCAATTTGTGTATTTCTGATCACAAATTCAGCATGGCTATCTTCGAAAAGCTTTAAAATAGAGAAAAGCGCATCTTTCTAAGAACAGGAAGTGAAAATGAGAGATGGGTAAGCATTCCCAGAGATGAGGTGTTTGTCTTTTTTAATGATCAGAAACAGGTGGTAAAGCATACGGTAAGTCACCCAATTTAGCAGGATATAGGAAGACAAGTTAGGAGTCTACTGCACCAGTCCAGGCCAGAAAGATTAATTTGAATTGTAAATAAGGATAGGAACCAGAGTTAGCCACAAAAGAAGTTCCAGAAATAAAATCACTAGCACTGTGATCTGGAGGGGAAGGAAGGAGAATGGGGCCACTGATGGGATGTCTAGGTGTAGGTGACTAGCAGGCAGCTGGACTTGAGGTCTTCAGAAAGGTTGATACTAAGAGAAATACACCAGGAAAGGAAGCATGTGCTTGGTGGAGCCCTCTGCACCAGGAAAGGAAACAGATGATGCCAAAATAGGGGTGGGCTTCTATCTAAAAGGGAGGATTGGGCAGGGGAGGAGGCTGGGGGACTGGGGAGCATCACAGAAGGGCAGGGACTCAGGCCAGACAGGAAGCTCATGGCTGAGATCTCGGAAAGGGAATCATTGTAACTGTGGGTTGTTTAAAACCTGAAGTAACGGCCAGGCACAGTGACTCACACCTGTAATCCCAGCACTTTGGGAGGCCAAGGCGGGCAGATCACGAGGTCAGGAGTTTTCAACATGGTGAAACCCTTTCTCTACTAAAAATACAAAAATTAGCTGGGCATGGTGGCACACACCTGTAGTCCCAGCTACTTGGGAGGCTGAGGCAGGAGAATCTCTTGAACCTGGGAGGCAGAGGTTGCGGCGAGCCAAGATTGTGCCACTGCACTCCAGCCTGGGCAACAGAGTGAGACCCTGTCTCAAAAAATAAATAAATAAATAAATAAATTTTAAAAAACCCTGAAATCGGTGACCTGAGAAATCACCCTGAAGTTGGGTGGGCAAGGGGGTGAGGGAAGAATGGGGAGTGGCTGCTAATGGAATTGGGTTTTTTGGAGGGTGATAAAATGGAATTAGGTGGTGGTGCTGGTCGCCCAACCTTGTGAATATTCCTAAAACCCCACTGACGTGTGTACTTTAAATGGGTGGATTTTATGGTATGTGAATTATATCTCAGTTTTTTTCAAAAAACCTGAAGTTGGTCTGGGGAAAAGGATGGAGGAAGGGAAGCATGAATGTCTGTGTCCCAAAGGACAGTGGCAAGGATGGGTGAAGAGGAGCCTTGAGCCACATGCTCAGTGGTCTTGGAAAAGTGGATGTTTCTTTGAGGTCAGCATTACGTGCTCGCCTTTATGCCAGGTGCCCCACCTATGTTGCTCTGTCCCCAGGAATCCTGCAGCCTGGTAGAGCAGAGCGCTGACATCTGCGATGAAGCTTTAGGAGGGGATGGCAGTGGTGATGGCAGGAAAAGAGACTGAAACTGATTGTGGAGACATGAACCCAAGGGCTTGAGTCATCCAGCTGTTAATGTTTGGTTAACAGGCTCTTTGGTTGCAGAGCCTGGCTCCATAGACCCCAGGTGTGATTCTCCTGTCCTGCCTGCTTCCCTCTCTCAAGTCTGGCCTTCTGGTCTTCACAGGGGTGCCGTTCATCCAGGGTCATTTCTTGGGAGCCGTTAAGGGGAGAGGTTGATTAATTTCTGGGCTTGATTGTTGCCTCTGTCGGTTCCAGGTTGGGCTGGTGTACATGTTTAACCTCATCGTGGGTACGGGCGCGCTCACCATGCCCAAGGCCTTCGCCACTGCCGGGTGGCTTGTCAGCCTCGTCCTGCTGGTGTTCCTGGGCTTCATGAGGTGAGGCAGCAGGGACTTTCCCACAGGGGCTGGGAGTGCAACAGGAGGGAGTCAGCCCTGGAGGGCCGAACGTGAGGGCACTGAGGGGTGGGGAGACACCTGTCTACCCTGTCTTTAGCGTGGTGAGTCCTTCCAGGGTAGTCAGAGAGGGAGCAGTAGTCACAGAGGCCTCCTGGTGGCTGATGTTAGTGGAGCGGCGGCACAGCCCTGATCAGATAAAAACCTGGGCATCCACTAGGCTTTGGAATTTCACACGATGCTGGCCTCTTCCCCAGATTTACATCCCCTTCTATTAAATGTAGACTTTATTACCATTACCGTCAAGTTTTGCTGTCTGAGAAAATACCACCCAGCAAGGATCTAACAAACATGTAAGGTGATATGGGAAATCAGCTTGGAATTTAGAATTTGCTTAAGGTAATTCACAAAGTAGGTGATAAACACACCGTGGGCATGATCAAGTGTGGCACTTGCCTGCCGTGTACCTCCCCAGGCCTTTACCTGCTCCTTGAGCCAGGTGTGTGAGCCTCATCAGCGGATGCTTCAGGGAGGGTGGGTTCTACCTGAGGCACTTTTCGGGGATTCCCGCACACGTAGGGACTGGTCTGAAGTTGTCTGCAAGTGTCCCGGCCAGGAAGGGATTTAGGACTAGGTATTAAAGTCCTCTGTAGTTCAGGTAGGAATCCACAAGCTGCAGAAAACAGATGGGAAGGAGCACCTGGAAACACCTCTCCTGAGAGAGGCGACCCCCCTCCCCATCTGTACACCAAGCACCCTTCCAGGTACTGAGGGAGCCTCACCAACAAACATCCCTGCCTGTGCAGACTTGACTTTATTCTGTGGAGACAGACAGTGAGCAGTGAAGATAAGAAATGGGTAAATTGAAGAGCAAGCTGGAAGGCAGCGAGTGCTGTGGAAAGAGGAAGGCATAGCAGGGCGAGGGGACTAGGATGCTGGGGGAAGCAGGGTTTGGGAGGGCTGCATCTAAGTGAGGATCTGAACGGGGAGGGAGTGGGTGCTGGTGGAAGGATGAGACGGAGCTTAGTAGTTGGCGCAAACTAAGATGTACGAAAGGCTGAATGGGATAGGAAAATGCCCATGCTTTCCAGCTTCTTCATGCGTTTCTTTTGGGGAGTTTTGAGGGTGAATCTTGGGGCACTACTGGTTCATTACCTACTGTGAGCCCTGGCAGCCAAGAGCTCTGGAAGTGTGTGTCCTTACACGACTCTGCTGTCCCCTTTAAAGGACCTTCAGCACAGGCAGCCATCCAAATGAGAAGTGTTCTTTGGGGGCTCTCAGGTAGAGGGTGCCACACCCCGCTCCTTGCTCAACCCATTTGTGTTTGGACATGATCAATGAGTTGGCCTTCTGCAAGCAACCATGAGAAGCCTCTCTATGCCTTAATTAAGATTGATTTTAATTTTACTTCCAAAAAGAAGGGTAAATCCAAAGCCCTTAAAATGGTCACTTAGGCAAGATAATGAGAAACCTTTCTAGGAGGTGCTGAGGTGATTGGCATGGGGGCTTCCGAGCTGGCTGCTCCCCCAGGGTGGGAGTAGGTATGGGTTTAACTGGTTTAACCTCATCGTGGGCACAGGCGCGCTCACCATGCCCAAGGCCGTCGCCACCACAGGGCGGCTTGTCAGCCTTGTCCTAACTGGTGTGAAGCCAAGCGACTCAGCTGCCTCCCGACCTCAGAGCCGAGCAGTCAGCCCCCCAGCTGTCAACACTCAGGGAGAGGCAGGGGTGAGTCTGGTGGCAGAGCTGTCCTGGCCTCAAGAAAGCAGGAGATGAATGTTTGTTCCCCACTGTTCCACGGCAGAGATGGATTCATACCTCAGGTTTTATTAGCAGGAAGGTAGCCCACTTCTGTATCCTCCGTTAACAAAAGCATTCGTGCATTCCAGCTGTCATCTAGGTCTCTCAAGTTTCTTTAAGAGGAAAAGAAAAGATGATTTTTCCAGTCTAGTCTGACTTCTTGGCAAGCATCTGATGCCACCTCCCAATCTCCCTTTTGAATCAGGCCATAGAAGTGCAAGCTTATTTTAATATTAGCCAGATTATCTGGAAAGTAAAAAGTACTGCCAAAGAAAAAAAGGACAGATTCCGGAGCCAAGTGCCCATTTCCAGTTATCCATGCCTGCGTGTCTTCCATCCATGTATGTAATTGGGAGGTGACCGCTTGCCTCTGTCCTTGCAAGGTGAGGTGAAAACTGCCTGCTGTCCTTCCAGAAGCTGGGGGGCCCTGTGTGAACCAGCCTCCCTTCACAGAGCATCCTTTGGCGTCTGCCCACCACGGCCCCTCCTGGGTGTGCAGCTCGGCTTGTCCCAGCACCACCTCTGCCCCCAGCTCCCTCTCTTTTTTGGGTACTTTCCCTCCCATCACTTAATTCATGCCCCTCTCTCTTGTGCACTGGAAATACGTTCTCACTGTAGACAGCAACATCAAAGCACGCACACCTTTTTATGAGGTAAGGCCCATCTCTAAGGGACACCTCTCAGAAAAGAGAATGCTCCGGGCTGGTGGGTCTAGTCGTGTCTTACAATGGTGTTTCCCTTCTCTCTGTGCCTCCCCCAACCTCCCGTCTGCCTTTGGCGCTGGGCACGCGTCCCCCGCAGCTTCGTGACCACCACCTTTGTGATAGAGGCCATGGCCGCAGCCAACGCGCAGCTCCGCTGGAAGAGGATGGAGAACCACAAGGTACGTGTGTTGCCCTCATCTCCAGCCCATGCCTCTGTTCCTTTGGGTACCCAAGAGGCAGTCTCAGTAGCCTGTTCTTTTCCTCTCAGTGCGTGGCGGGCTCTCTCCACGGTGCTGCTCCTGAAACACAGTCCCCCAGCTGAAGCTTAATGGCCACCTAAAGTTAGAGTACAAATGGAGCCTCGTCCACTTTCCCGTCTCAGCCTCAGGCTCTCCTGCTCTGACGCACACCCAGCTCAGCTGTTTGGAACCTTCCTACCCAGGAACTGTGCTGTCACTTATTCCTCCATGGCTTCTAATAGGGCAGCATAGATGTGCTGAGAGCTCCCCAATCACATACAGATGCCCCACAGAAAAAAAGAACACAGGGGCCAGCACGGGGGCTCACGCCTGTAATCCTAGCACTTTGGGGGACCAAGGCGGGAGGATCACTTGAAGTCAGGAGTTCAAGATCAGCCTGGGCAACATGGTGAAACCCCGTCTCTACTAAAACTACAAAAGTTAGCCGGGAGTGATGGTGTGTGCTTGTAAACCCTGCTACTCAGGATGCTGAGGCACGAGAATTACTCGAACCTGGGAGGCAGAGGTTGCAGTGAGCTGAGATCATGCCGCTGCGCCCCAGCCTGGGTGACAGAATGAGAGTCCATCTCAAAAAAAAAAAAAGAGCCTAGGCGCGGTGGCTCACGCCTATAATCCTAGCACTTTGGGAGGCCGAGGCTGGTGAATTACCTGAGGACAGGAGTTCTAGACCAGCCTAACCAATATGATGAAACCTCGTCTCTAAAAAAAATAGACAAATTAGCTGGGCGTGGTGGTAGGTGCCTGTAATCCCAGCTACTCTGGAGGCTGAGGCAGGAGAATCGCCTGAACCCAGGAGGCGGAGGTTGCAGTGAGCCAAGATTGCGCCATTGCACTCCAGCCTGGGCAACAAGAGCAAAACTCCATCTCAAAAAAAAGAACAAAGGAAGCAGGTTCTCCATTGTCCCAGGGCTTTTCTGTAGAGTTACTTGCTCCTCTTTTTTTTCTCTCTCTCACTCTGTCAGCTAGGCTGGAGTGCAGTGTTGCAATTGCAGCTTACTGCAGCCTCGACCTCATGGACTCAGGTGGTCCTCCTTTCTCAGCCTCCCAGGTAGCTGGGACTGCAGGCGCATGACACCATACCTGGCTAACATTTTGTATTTTTTTGATGTGCTCCTTTTTTTTCCCTTGTTTTTCTCCCTCCTCCTCATCTATCCCACCACCTACCAGGAGGAGGAAGACGACGACTCCTCCACAGCCTCAGACAGTGATGTTCTCATCCGGGACAACTATGAGCGGGCAGAGAAGCGGCCCATCCTGTCTGTGCGTAAGTCTTGGGGTCCTAGCGGGCCCACACTTCCTCTGGACCACGGGGTTCCCTTTCTTCGTGGAGAGGGCCCTGGGGAGTTTCCCCACAGACTCCTCTGGCGTTTCCTGCTCTCGGATTCTGAGCCAGGCCCTGTGGTAGGGTAAAAAGAGCAACAGGGCGTCAGTCCTGGGCACAGGCCTGGCCCCTGCTGACTGGGCTACTTACTTAGATTTGCAGCTTGGTGAATTCCTTGACCTCTGTGCCTCAGTTTCCCCCCTTCTTGTTGCTGAGATGATTAAATGCCTGGTTCCGTGCCCAGTGCTCCCTGGAAGCTTGAGTAAATGTCGTTCTGTGGCATCTCTTCTTCCTCCTGCCTGTCCCTCATGTCCACACACGCCCCTGCCTTGCTGTCTCCTCCCTGGTCGCCTGGGCTGGGCTCCGACACCTGCTCTCCCTTTCACCCCAGCAGGAGTGTCTCTGAATTCCCGTTTTTTAAAAAAAAGACTGTTAAACCATTTCAAGCAGAAAACATTAGGAAAAGTTTGCTCGAGTTTGGACGCTTAGGGATTGTATGGTTTAGATGATTCAGTGAGGTCCACACCACCCTCTGAAGCTCTCCATGTGAAAAACCACTTCCTCTTCCTTGTTCTTTTGGCTCCACAGAGAGACGTGGATCTCCCAACCTGTTTGAAATCACAGACCGGGTGGAAATGGGACAAATGGCCTCCATGTTCTTCAATAAAGGTAGACGTTCTTTTGGGGGTGGGGTGTAGGGAAACGGGGAGCTGGTGCCTCCCTGCAGACGTGTGCCCTTGTAATGAGGGTTCCACCCTGACTGCCAGGCCAGGGGCAGAGCAGATGAAGGAGCTGCTTCCTCAGCACCTGAGAAGCCACCTTGCTGACCTGTTTTCCTGGATTTCTCCCTGTCTGTGGGCATTAAAAATAAAGAGGTGGCTTCTCTAGCAGAAGTCAAGAACCCAAGGCAGCTACTCCAGCAGAGGTCAGGAACACAGGCAGCTACTCCAGCAGAGGTCAGGAACCCCAGGCAGCTACTCCAGCGGAAGTCAGGGACCCCAGGCAGCTACTCCGGCAGAGGTCAGGAACCCCAGGCAACAACTCCAGCGGAAGTCAGGGACCCCAGGCAGTTACTCCAGCGGAGGTCAGGGACCCCAGGCAGCTACTCCAGCGGAAGTCAGGGACCTCAGGCAGCTACTCCAGCGGAGGTCAGGGACCCCAGGCAGCTACTCCAGCGGGGGTCAGGGACCCCAGGCAGCTACAAAAGAAGCTTTTCCTTTTCCTGCAAAAGAAGCTGATGGAGGCCAGCTGGTGATTTTGCACCTCCTGCTTGATTGCCTCTGACCTTGCCCTCTTCTGGCCGATTCTGCCTGGAATAACACCTGACAGCGATAGGCTCTGCCACACGCACGCCTGGGCCTGGCTTCCCAGTGGCCGGCAGAGGGCGCTAGGAGCCCACACCCAGACTGGCCAAGTGGACCAGGAGCCCTGGAGTGTGGTGGTGAACCTGCTCCTTCTTGGGATCTGGCTGCAGTCAAAAGAGAGCTACCCAATTCCGGGGTTGGGTTGTTGGGTGTTCCAGCGACATCTTATACCTCCATGGCAAATCTTGTTCTTTTGGAAGATGAGCTATTTAAGAGTTTAGTGGCCAGGCATGGTGGCTCATGCCTGTAATCCCAGCACTTGGGGAGGCCAAGGCAGGCAGATTTGGAGAGACCAGGAGTTGGAGACCAGCCTGGCAAACATGGTGAAACCCTGTCTCTATTAAAAATATGAAAATTAACCACGCATGGTGGTACACACCTGTGGTCCCAGCTACTCCAGAGGCTGAGGCACGAGAATCACATGAACCCGGGAGACAGAGGTTGCGGTGAGCCGAGATCACACCACTGCACTTCAGCCTGGGTGACAGAGTGAGACCTTGTCTCAAAAAAAAAAAAGAGAAAGAGAGAAGAGTTGAGTTTTTAATGTGCCCAGACCTTATTTCCCTTTCATTGAGTCAGACACATTCTCAGTTCATCCTTCCCCTCGCAACTGTCTTGGAAGATCTTCTGCCCCTTTGTCAAAGCCCATTTGTTGAATGGGCTGCCCGACCGGTTCTTTCTAGTCTTAAATGTGGCTGCACTTAACTTAGAGCTGGGGGGACTGCAGGAGCTTGAATCTCCTTGACTGCTCTTTAGGACATTAAGCATTTAGTTTGTTATTGGTGGGGCAATGTGATTATCAGCCAAAGGCTGCCCAGGGGTCCAGTTCACCCTCCCTGCGGGACTGGCCTCATGGAAGGTTTTCAGAATTCACCAAAACCAACTGGCCGGTTCAGCCCGCTTCTATGCTTCTCCTTTGTTCCATTTCCATCCTTTCCGTCTCACCAGCCTGAGCAAGCGTAAGCGTCTCCTCCTGGCAGCCACGCAAAGTCCTCTTCCAAACACAGTCTTTAAAATAAAGTGCACGCTGGAGGGAGGACGTATGCCTTTTAAACCTCCTTTCTCAAGTTCGTGTTCTGCAATCTGCCCTGATTTCTTTAAGATTCTAGGAACCAGCGGTTTTACCTTTTTTCCCCCATCACAAAGTAGACTCCTAATTTGCCTAAATCTAATAGAAAATAAAGATACTTCTCTGAGACCAGCCTCACACTTAGTGGGAGTCTCCTTCTCTACCCCAGAGTTTCTCAGGCTTAGCCCTGTTGATGTTTGGATGGGGGAGTTTCTCTTTGTGGGCCTGTTCTGTGTGTGGTAGGGTTCTGTGCCTGCCCACTAGTTGCCAGTAGCACCTCCCAGGTACGACAGTCAAAACTGTCTTCAGATGTTGTCAGATGTTCCCAGTAGAGTCTGGGAGGCAAAATCACCCCAGCTGAAAACCTCCGTTCTGCCTCATTCCTGATTCACAGACTGTCAGATTGTCATCTTCACCCTTGGTGGGGCTGTCCCCTCTGTAGGAGGCTCCCTTAGGGTCCCAGCTCATTTCTTGTAATCAGAAATGCAGGCCTAGTCATTGCTATCCTCTCAGGAAGTTCATTGATCTTCTTATTTTGTGTCTAGTAATGAAATTTATTGATCAGGGAGGGCCAATGGCAGTTTATAAACAGAGCTGATGCCAGAGTCCATTGGCAGGTGGAGGAAAGGCTGGGAGTGGGGCGGGGGACAGTGCGTCCTCTCAGAGCTGAATGCAAGCTGGAGTGCAGGCTGTACCTGGAGACTGGGCCTGAGTGACAGGCCAACCCCAAAGGCCACTAAGCTTGGACATCAGGCTAGCTCTGCCATGCCAGGGAAGGACATGCCATATTCAAAAAGCAGGCACTGAGACCCTCCTGGGTCCCCTGGAGAATCGTGTTTTCTTAGCCTTTTCCCCCCAGACTCCTAGGAACAGAGCTGACCTCACATGGCCCAGGAGTAATATGTCCTAGGCTTTCCCTTGGGGACCCTGCAGGCTCTTCTGAGCCACCAGGATTAGAAGGGAACTGTCACTTCATTTTTCTTTATGTTCTCAGAGAAGCCAGCAGCTTGAGACCAGTGACATCAAAAACGTGAGCATCAGTCTGAGCAGGGTTGGAGACGGATTGTCTGGGCAGTAACCCTTAGGTCGTAGGGCCCTGCCGCTCTTTTCAGAGCCCTTGTACCTGACCTTTCTAGCTGGAATCATTTATGGAAGATGGCCAGGTGGGATTCTTCTCCCCGTCACGGGTTAGGAGACAACTTGCTGGGGTCCTGAAACAAGTCTGATGGAATCAGGACTAGAGCCCTGTGTTCCCAACTTCTTGTTCAGCCTCCTGCTGGAGTGAGAGGGGACAAATGTGGCCTCTGCAGCGGGAGTGTCAGCGTCACACACCTTCCAGAGTCAGCGCTGTCCCTCAGGAGTGCTTCCCATAAGAAGGAAAGGGAGCCTGTCTTGAGCACCATCCCCCGCAGAACACCAGGCCATCGTGTGCTTGTGATCAGTCAGATTCAGAATGAGGCACTTGGCCTTTGGAAATCAAGGGCTTTTTACCCTTTGGATCTCAGCTTCAGAGAGCTAGGCTGTTTCCGTCAACTTCTCTTTGCTTCAGCTCTTCAGTAGCAATCTCTTGTTTTAGAGCCTGGTGTTGTTGCCTGACACCGGAGGGGGCCCCCAGCCCAGATGCACTCAGGGGTTCAGGCTCCTGACTCGGCACCCCTCCTCCTTCCCAAAGCGTGTCACAAGCATGAAGGCACATCTGGTTCCTCCCTGGCCATGCCAAGCTTCACACTCACCGTACACCTGTCTGGCTTCAAAATCTCTCTGATCCTCCCAGCCTCGCTGAGCCCTCTCAGGTGAAGTCATGAGTCGATCTATCTCCTGTCAGCATCACAGTGTAGCCAGCCAGAAAAAGAAATAGGACTTTGGGGTCATTTTCCCACTTTTTATAGAAAGTAAACAGCTTGAAGAAGTGAAAGCTATGGGAGAGGTAGAGATTTAGTCAGAAAAAAAATGCAGACATCTCTTTGTGGCTCCCTGACTGATGGCTGTGTTCCTTCCAGTGGGGGTCAACTTGTTCTATTTCTGCATCATCGTTTACCTGTATGGGGACCTCGCCATCTATGCTGCTGCCGTGCCCTTCTCCCTCATGCAGGTGACCTGGTGAGTTCCCCCCGACCCCCAGGCTGACTAGCAAAAGGGGCTTCCTCAGCCAGTCAGGGCAGAGTGTCCAGGGGACAAGCACCATGCTGAGTGACTTCATCTAGACTTGCATCTAGGGAATGCAGATGCCCAGGCCCTTTTCTGCATAGACCACAGCCAGCCGTGCTGTCTCTCCTTAGCTCATGTCACTGTCCCCTTCCCTGCCCCACTGGGCTCCCACCAAGGGCTCCTGAGTCGTTGGGAAATGGTGCTGCAGGAATAAGGAGGGTGCGTCCTCAGAGATGCATCTCGCAATGTGGTTTGTGAAAAGTCTGATTGCTGGTGCTCAGGCAGCTGTGCAGGGAGTGGCTTCTGTCTCCCTCAGCCAAGCCAAGTGGCCTCGCTGAGCCTGGGCCTGCTGTCATTCTCTTTATCAGCAGCACCACTGGCAATGACTCCTGCGGCGTGGAGGCAGATACCAAATACAACGACACTGACCAGTGCTGGGGGCCCCTGCGCCGTGTGGATGCCTACCACATCTACTTGGTGAGTGTCTGTGCCCCAGCCCAGCCTGGGCAGCTGAGGGCATCTGAAATGCCTTTACTTCCTGGTAGAACCCTTTCCCCGGAGAGGAGGGTCTACCCTTCTCCACAATCTGGCTAAGCACTGGGGCCTTGGCCCCAGGCAGAAATGGATTGCATCACTAAGAGTCTAGCCCCCGAGGCTCCTGGCAGCAGGCCTCAAAGTCAAACGTGGTTTGGAATAGGCACTCGGGTCATAGCCACCAGATTCAAGGCTGTGACTGTTGTAAACCTAGCTCAGGCTCTAGGGCCACTCTCAGCAGAGTTCTCCAAGAGTGCCAGATCTCATTTTCCAGAAACTTCCACATTTTGACCTTACTCCTGGGCAGCCCAAGAGCATGTGGTTCGATGCTGGGTCTAGCCATAAACATCCTCTCCAGATAGGAAGGATCAGCCCAGCTCTCTTCCTATCTTTCATCCTCCTTTCGTCTTCCCAGTGGACAAGAGAAGATGATGAATCTCCAGGCTCGTTCTTGATTGCTTTGTGCCATTGTGGGGGGCAGGGAGCCGAATAATATGCCAGACAGGTCCTGGATAATAAGATACAAAACCAGAGACGGTTATTTATCTCTGCCTACTCTGGGGGCGGGACTCAGAAATGTTTTTCTTTAACTGTTGCAGCATCTATTAATATTCTCTGCTTCCTCTTGGTCCTCCTCAGCCCTGACATAAATTTAGGTGTGCCAGGTGACACACAGTTTGACACGTGGCCACTTGGCTGATTTGGAGCGGGGAGGCAGGGACCAAGAGAGAGCCAAGCTTTTCAGGGAGCTGGCCTCCTGACTTCTGACTAAAGGTTTCCACAGGCCCTGCGGGCTATTGGATCTGGATTTGTTCACTCCAAGGGGCCACTGAATGGTTTTTCTTGCCCTCCTAGTCCCACTCTACAGACCTACTGCAGGAACTCTGTGGCCTGGGCCACGCAGGAATTAGTTTTCCTCTCTGCATCTCTGCGGCGGTCGGCTGATGGTCTGTGTTTCTTTTCCTGCACATTCAGCTGTGGCTAGCCGTTTGTCTTTTAGTAGAACTGCATCTGATCCCTCCGACACACATCTGGTGGGAATTTGGTAGCAGGTTGATTGTCTGGCACCCTTCTCCATGTCCCCCAGCCTTGGGGCGGGAACAGGAACCAGCATGGCAGCGGAGGGGAGAACCCAGGCACTAGCGGCACAGCTGAGGCTCGTTAGCCTCTTAACAGTCAACAAACCATGATTGACAAAATTAGCAATGGCATTAGTAAGCGAAAGTCCCCATCTGGATCTCCAGCAGGGTAGATGGGCAGAAGGAGGTGATGGAGGACAGGGTTTGAGCAGCCCACACAGACACGGTGGCACGTTCAGGGCAGAGCAGCCACAGCAGAGCCAGTCCAGTGGGTCTTTGCTGGGGGGGCAGCTGGAATCTAAAGACCCTGCCAGGCACACTCCCCACCCACCAGCAAAAAGGATACTGCGCGCTGGGAATATTGGCTGCTGCCATTCGCCTGATAAATTATTTAGAAGCGTTATTCTTGCCTTGTTAAATGGTTCCCTCACTGATTCCTATAAACCTTCCACATGATGGAAGCCTCTCTCCCTGGATCTCAATAACTCTCTGACTGAACAGAAGGAACCCTTCAGGAAAGCAGACGGGCATTAATTACTGCCTTCATTGCCCAGATATTGCACGTATAACTCATAGAGCTAATTGTCATCAGAGCCTGCAGAAAGCCACAAAAACAGGAAGCAGAGGCTACAGAACAGGAGTGGAGACCCTGGCTACCCACAAGAGCCTTCTCTTTCTGGGCGAGTGACTGTATCCTTCCCCACACCCCAGGCCCCTGCAGGGGGCTTCTGTTTGCTCAGAAGGCTTTTGGTTTGCATGGGCTCTTCTATCCAGTTTGGAGAAGTCAAGGCAGATGGGCCTTGGTGTTGTCTCAGAAGTCACTCTCAGTTTTGCATGTGGCTCCCAGGGTGTGAGCTGCAGAACAGTAGCCTGCTATTCCCGTGACCCCAAACTCTGGTGCTTTCATCGCTCTGCGGGCCCTTCCCCTCCCTCGGTGAGTGGGAAGCGGCAAAGCGACTGGAGGAAGGGGTTGGCAAAGATGTGTATTCTCCCTCAGTCCTGAGCTCTCCTGCGAGTGAGGACAGCATCTTCCCTCGCAACTCTGACCTGTAGGGCTTGTCCCTGTGCATCTTTGGAAAGGTCAGGGGAGCTAGCTTCCAGCAAGTGGCCCAAGGAGGGCTGTCCTTCCCCCCTGCCCCCTGGTCATTCTGTCTCAGAAGATTGTCCATCCTTTCTAGAAACGCCATGCTGCCTCTTACCACCAGCTGTTTCTGATTTTGCTGCCAGCCAGACTTCACTCAAAATGTTCAGCAAGGCAGCAAGCAGGTCGGGGGAGGATTGAAAGCACCTCCCTACCCTGCACACAGATCTTGTTTGTCTCAGATAGATGATGCCCCTACCCAACCTGCATTTTTAAAAGGGACCTACTAATAATTTCTTCTTCATTGCCATTCTACAGCAGTAGGTTCTGGGGGACAGAGATGCAGACTTATATATTGTGATCTACCTTTCAGAAAGTCGTCTGGAAGCGATTTCTTCTGTGTCTTCCCAGGAATGCTCCTGAGACGCACATGCACAGTGAGAATCCTTGCTGTAGTAACTGTCTCCAGGGCTGGCCTGTGTGTAGCATCATGGTTACCTACAAAAAAAGCCCTTGACCTTCACCAGTGGAAAATTCCAGCCCCTCCTCTTTGCACCTGACGACCCTCATCCACATTCTGTGCTTCCCGGCGCAGCTGATATGAGTCACTTTCTCCCTCTCCCTCCCTGGAGGAGCCACAGAGCAGGGTGCCATGGGGCAGAGGTCCCCTGAGTCACTTGCTGCTTCAGTGGGCTCTCTGGGGTGTCCCAGCAGGCCACTGCAGCTGGAGGCTGCAGTGACCTGGACGCTGTTATTAGGGCCCATGGAGATTATCATCAGGATCTGCTATCACCTGGTCTTGGATTCTCAGGCCCTACCCCCCACCCCCCACTCATCCCTCCTGCTCTTTTGAAAAATCAAATGGGAACTTATGAGATGCTCCAGCTCTTTCAAACAGGTAACCTTGTCTCCAGGCTGGGGAGCATCTCAGGATTCTTTCTGCAGTTTCTCCGGCTTTGGTAGGCAACACAGTCAGAAGTTGGCATTTCGTTCCTTCCTCTACAGCACGAAGGAGCCAGGGACCCCTGGTGAGGTGATAGGATTGTGTGTGAACCAGTTCCGTTTGGGACTCAGACTGTCCCAAGTGTCTGGGACGCTGGCGTGTGTCACTCTCCCCTGGGATGGAGGGCACTGCCCAGCAGCTTTGTTGCACTTCCTCATTCCTGCATCACCTGCCAGCTGATATTCCTGTCCCCTGCCTGGACCCAACCCTCCTCCTAGAGAGAGTCAGAGGGAAGCAGTGTCAGAGGTGACAGTGGGGACTCCCAAGTGCTGAAAGCCTCTCACCGTTAGGAAGAGCGAGCAGCAAGCGGCATCCACCACTCACAGGTGGACAGATGCTACTGGGTCGCAGGTGGCCCTGCAGGCCCCGGCTGAACAGAGCTGGGAGTGCAGATGGCAGAGCGGAGCTTATCCTGGCTGGAGACCCGGTCGCAAACTGGCCATGTTGAGCAGGGGGCCCCTTGTTGGCTGCCCTGGGACAGGACAAGGTCACCCTGGCCGCCTGTCCTGCCTTGAACACAGAAGCTGTGAGATCCACCTCCAGGGCACAGGTGACTTGGGAGAGGGATATGGGCTGCAAGTGCCTGGCTAGTGCCCTGCCACCCCCTGTGACAGAGACAGTCCTTCCCAAGCTCCTTCCAGACACCCCCTTGAAGAAGTGGAGGGCCAGGGGGATTTCTGTCTGCTGGCCTCTTCCTAGAGGGCTAAGTCAGCCTGAGATTCATGCTCACGTTGACAACAGAAGGGTCCTTCCAGGCCTTTGCGACAGCCCTGTTATCTCTCACTCTGCCAGGATTCCATCTTGGCTCCCTCTCACATGGCAACACTGGCCTTTGTCTGTTTGCAACACTTAAAACGGTGTGCAGTCCCCATTTTCAAAACCAAATGGTTTCCTTCTAAAATAGTACCACTCAAGGAGAAAATATCCTTTTCGTGAGGGTGCAGATGGATTGATGTGCCCGTATGGCAGTGCCTTGCGTGCTGTGAGTACCCCGCCCTCCCATGGTTTACCTTGCTTCGGTGTAGCATGTACCAGTGACTTTTGACCCCCAACCACACAGTAAAGTACACAGCATCATCCCATTTCACAGCAGGGAAAACTGACTCAGAGATGGGGGCTTCCTGGGATCCTGGAGCTGAAGCAGACGGACAGCTGCTCAACTCTTTGGCCTCTCAGCTATGTCCTGCCCTGGTGACACAAACTTGCTCCATTTGCCCAAGACTCAGTTCCATGGGCTTTGCTTTGGGGGCAGCCCCCAGTGCCATGCACAGGCCGGGACACGGAGCACCTGTTCTCAGCCCTGGGAGCCTGACGTTTGCAGGCGATTGGGGTGAAACGGCCGAGTGTGGTCCCTGGTGAGTGAGCGCCTTTGCAGGTCTGCCCATCATTGTCACTGACTCAATCAATGCCCCGTCTGCCTTGGTACCCCTCGCTCCTAGATAGCAAGGCCAGCTTTTCCTGGGCACTCAAGTAGTGTTGGAATTAGTGCCTCTTCCCAAGGACACTTCTTCCCCTGCCGTGGTCTCTGTTCTTTCAGCGTCAGCCAACTGTGCCCTGGGGCTGTGGCGTCTGCTAATAAGTGGGTCACTGCTGCCTTCACTTGAATATTTATTCTTACCAGTGCTGGAGTAGGAGGCGCCTAGAGAAAGGACCAGTGAGGAAGGAAGATTAGAGAAGCAACAGGTTTTAAGAGCAGCAGGGACTTCACCAGACTGGAGACTCTTGGGACCCTGTGCCATCTGCCTCCCAGGCACTACTCCTGTTGCTTTCAACATCAGTG